GGGGGGGGGGAGAAGGGCAAGGAGGAGGAAGGCCCTGGGGGGGGAGGGATGGTTTTCTGTTGCAGACTTTTGATGGGAGACAGCTCAGAAGGCAGGTCTGCTGGGGCTGCAGTTTGCATCAGTCGTAGGGCAGGTGGTGGTGGTGCTGGTGGTGGGGTGCAGGGTGCATTGTTCAGAGCCCAGAGGCTGGGTTTCCTTCTGCAGGAGCCTGAGACAGTGAGGTCGAGGAGACCAGTAGAATAGGCTCCTCCCAGGCGTTGCTCAGCAGGAGGGGGAGCCCCTGCTCCTGATTTCAGGGCCTTTGTCCTGATTTTGAATAACATCAGCTCTCAGAAGTTCTGTTAGTGTGGTCATTTCACCCCTGTTCTAAACACGGGGTGAAATGTATGGCTCAGGTGTTCAGTGACCAGCGAAATAGGAAGAACAACAGTCATGTGGTTAGTTTTCCATAAGCAGAAACTATCTAAAAGAACTGTTCTTTATTCTGAGATTGTATGTTTCCTCAGGTTTTGGTGTTAAAATGTCCTTTGTTTTAAAAATGGCGGTGGTTATAGTGGTGTAAGTGATTGTATTGGTCAGGGAGGTTAGGGACGTAACGGGTGAGTCCCAGGAGCTCAGGTGTAAAGACATCTCCCATCTACGAGAACTGGAAAGTGAGTGGCACTGGTTAGCTGAGGTGCTATCCTCAGGGACATGGGCTCCTTGCTCTCTCGGCTCTGCCCCCCTCTGGGATGCCAGGGTCCCAGCAGCTTTGGGATAGAAAAAAATCCAGGGCTGTGTGGGGGCTGGGACCACTGACACCTGCCCTCACATATCACCGCTGGAACTCAGCCCCAGGTTCATACCCTGCAGGGCAGCCTGGGCAGGAGTGGGCTGTGTCCTCAGGAAGTAGGAAAACAGTCTGAGAGCAGATGAGTCAGCTCCGATACAGTGGCTGCTCTGTTTTCACCTGGCAAGAAGGAAGTGGCTGTCAGTCTTCTGTGGCCTTCTAATTTATTTCCGTTTGACTGGTTTACAAAATTCAGAAGCATGGGAACTACTGCGAGCAAAAATCCAAAGGTCATTTCTTTGGAGTCCTGGAAATATTTCTTTATTTGGGACACTTCAGAACTACCTGAATAAAACTGCTGTTGAACTGATGGTTTCTCTTGCTCTTCCTTGCTGGGAGCTGAGGATGAGCAGTGTCACCTGAGGCCGGGAGACGCTCATCTGAGCCCAGGTCTGAAGGTGTGCGGTCTCTGGCTTGTGCATTTGTTGAGTGAGGAGGGTCTTCCGTGTTTGGAGTGCATGTCCCACGTGAGGAGAAGGATGAGAGTAACCAGAGATGCATGTCACAAACCACCGAGAGCCTGAGGCTTTTTGCAATCCTGTTATATTTTAAATGGCAGCGGACTAGCGTTCCTTTTTGGGGGAACTGAGTCTGGTGGAATCTGTGTAGGGGAAAGCAGGCCACTGGGCCCAGAGCTCCAAATTTAAGAGCGTAGTCGTTTCTGAGTGAGACTGGAGGAGCAAGAGCCTTGCTTCAGAGTTTTTACGGCTATCATGCATGAGTCGTGGGTCCTAACTTCTGTGCTGGTTTTATCTCTTTTAGGTTAGTCTGAATGATTCGCACAATCAGATGGTGGTGCACTGGGCCGGAGAGAAGAGCAAGGTGATTGTGGCTTTAGCCCGAGACAGCCTGGCGTTGACGAGGCCCAGGAGCAGTGATGTAAGTATTGGTGTTTCCCTGAGCATTCCTCTGTGCTGCCAACAAGCCCTTTTGTGATTCAACAGGGTTATCATTCCAGAAAAAATACTTGGTAATTGGAGAATGGATGGGATGAATTATATACAGAGAAGAGACTCTAGAAAATAATAAATGCCTCTTATTTGTTGACCCCAGGGTTGTGCAGTCAAGTGCAAACAGATCTGTGTGATGTGTGATTACTTTTGTGAGGTGATCGCGTGTGATCTGAATGGTTGTATCTGCTCAAAAAAATGCCGAAGCTCCTTCCTGGGCAGAGTTGCGCCTGGTGCGGTCTCATGGTCCTTCCATGCGCTCATTTCTCCCAACACATCACAATTGGGTGAATTGTTGAAACATATTTGCTAATGTCCTTAGTGTCCACCGTGGGCTCATACAATATGTAACAGTTAGGTGCTTTGAAGACATGAGACCAAGTGTCACATATGTGAGGGCCCGTGAGAGGCCAGGGGTAATGGGCAGGAATGAAACCTCCTCCAAGCTTACGACATTCTTTACCTGTGCAAGGACAATGGTCCCTTTCATTATTCTTGAACTATGTGGCAGAATGTCATTTTGCCACTTTTAAAGAGATCTAGGTTCAGGAAACAGTCACCTGCACCTTAATTCACCTTAACTTGAACATGGTGTTGGTACTTGGTCTCAGTGTCTGAGAGATACTCTGAAGTAGAAAGGATTCTGGAGAACTGGAGAATGAAGTCTTCCGAGCGAGGGCCATTGTCACTGGTCTTGCTCTGGATGCTGAGCAGGAAGCAGGACTCAGGGCCCAGTGTCCTGCTTCCTGGTTTTTGGAGAGAAGCTCAGAGATCTGGATTTTTATGTGAAAACTGCTGATTCTTACAAGTTGACAGCTAATGTGTAATTTTTGCATGCAGCATATAAGCCAAGTAAAACACTTGAGGGTCAGAGCTGGCCCTTGGGCCTCTGCTCCAGATCTCCCCTGGTAGGAGGAGCAGCCCCCCCTTGAGTCAGGGTCTGATGTGGGGACAGGGTGAAGCTGTGGACAGCAAAACACTGTGGAGCTTTGCTTACTCTGCACTCTGGCCAGAGAATGCCTCCTGGTGAACTTGCCAGCATTGTCACATCAGCCTAAGGACACAGTTGTCATTCTTGAGTATGGATTTGATTCTGTGAGGTCCCTCTCTGCATCCACTATCTGAGTTGGATATGCTCTGGGGTAGGTGACTGGAGGGAGCCCAGGAGCTGTTTTCTAGTTGAATCGGGGAAACTGCAGACAGGGAGGGAGAAAAGGGGCTGCTGTAATGATTCCCAGCTTTGCCCACGGCAGGTGCTGAGCAGTGGTAAGTGGGAAACCACGGGACCTGACAGCCACTTTGGGCGTGGTGGTCTGCAGCAGGGCTAGGCTTGTTTGGAGCAATGGCTTTAACCTGTTTATAAACGGGATCAGGGTTTGAAGCACAGATGGCAGTGTGTGGGTGCCCACTGGCCCTGGGAGAGTCTGTGGCACCTGTGTGTGTTAGGGCATGTGTGGACGCCTGCTCCCTGGGAGAGTCTGTGGCACCTGTGTGTGTCAGCGCATGTGTGGACGCCTGCTCCCTGGGAGAGTCTGTGGCACCTGTGTGTGTCAGCACAGCCGCTGCCCACTGGCCTCGCCTTTGAGCACAGGAGACACCATGCGCACTGTGCTGGGAAAACCCCCTCAGAGCTGTTTTTGTTGTTAATCTTCATCCAAGAATATTTTAAAAAAATTTTGTTTTTTACTCCTTACCTGAGGATTTTTTCCATTGAGTTTTTAGAGAGAGTGGAAGGGAAGTAGGAGGGAGAGAGAGAGACATCGATGGGTTGCCTCCCTCGCGCAGCCCAGGTAGGTGCCCTTGCCCGGGAATTGAACCTACAGCTTCAGTCTGCAGGCCGGTGCTCTAACCACTGAGCACACTGGCCGGGTCCTGAGGATATTTCCCATTGATTTTTAGAGAGAGTGGAAGGGAGGAAGGGGTGGTACAGAGAGACAGACAGAGAAACATTGATGTGAGAGAGACACATCGATGGGTTGCCTCCTGCACACTAACCAGGGCCAGGGATTGAGCCTGCAAACCCAGGTACGTGCCCCTGCCCGGGAATTGAACAACTGACCCCTCTGTGCATGGGCTGACACTAACTACTGAGCAACACTGGCCAGGGCTTCCTTAGAATTTTTATGCATTCGCAAATTATTTGCTCAGATAATATTTTTTTGTGAGATAGGTAGAGACCTTAACAGTTGATTTTTTATTTTGCTGGATAAACAGGAGACTAGAGATATTATTAAGTGACTTAGATGAGGTTACTTCAAATGTCTGTGGGAGAGTTGGGGCTAATGAGAATTAAGGCTGAATCACATATTTGGCATTTGAGGATGCAGTGTTGCCAGGGTGACCGTCTTGCTTGGGTTTCAGCACTGGAAGCCCCACATCTGGGATCACCCTCAGTCCTGGATGAGCTGGGATGGATGGTTGGTCACCTTGGTATTGCCAGTCTACCCAAACCCAATTCTTCCTCTGTCCAAATATTTGGGTGTATTTAGGAGGAACCCACTGAACATTTGAAGTAATACACTGTATTGGAATGAAGTATACATAAGATTAAATGGAAAGGAAATTTAATGCTTGGAGATAATAAATGATGATGGCAGAGATTTCCCCCATGTATACAAGCTACATTAAAGAATTGGCAGATGAAACATGTTTTAATGTGAAAAGTTAATGCAAAAATATGACTCAGAAGCAGGAGTTGCTGGTGTCAGAGTAGTAACAATCAAATTTTCTTTAAAGAAGACTGGATTGTAAGGCCCCGTCAGAATGGAAAGGACCTATACAAATAAGGAACTGTGAGTGTTGGAGAATGGTGAGCTTATGCATATTCAGAATAGAAAAAGGGATGGACCTGGAAGCTGGAATCCGGAAGGTTTGCTATTAAATCAGAAAAAAAAGTGAATGAATAATGAATGTCCTGATGAACTCCTAGCCCATGTGCTTGCATGGAGAATGGCTCCTGCAGGACCCCTCTTTGTCTGTGACAGGTCTACTAAATAAGCGGAAATGGCAGGTATTAATTTATCTTGACCCTGCCCACCTCTTTGTTTCTGCTCTCTCCTATTTTGCAAAGTACTCAAGATGCAACGTAATTGGCCAAGGAGCTCTCCAGAGATAGTGTTGCCACAAGATCATGGTCCACCTGGGAGGCAGTGGGAGCAGCAGGACTTGGTGCCCCTTAGGATTGGCTGGGATGCAGGCCCAGTACAGTAGATCCTCACTTAATGTTGTTGATAGATTCCCCAACTTTAAGTGAAGGACAATGAAACCAGTTTTACCACAGGCTAATTGATATAAAGGAGAGTTAATTTCCTGGGGCTATAATGAAACAGTGTTGAAGGAAATGACACTTACGAGGACCTGCTATACTTGCTAAGCGAAGACTTGGTAGCCCCTGGGATGTGGTGTCCCGCTGAAATCAGGATGCCTGGGTTTGAATCCTGGCTCTGCCACTCATGGGCAGTCTCACTTTGGGCCAGATCATGAACCCTCTCTTGGTCTTCTCATTGGTCAGTGAGACCATTCTGTGAAAGACTTTGGATCAGCAACCACAGGTGTTTTCTGGAGCTGGCTGGACATGCTGCCTCTCAGATCTCACCCCAGACTTCCTGCAGCAGAACCTGCATTTTTAATGTGCCCTGCTGGGTGATTTGCAGGCAGTTCCCAGTTTGAGAAGCTCAGGTATAAAAGTACTTGGAATGGTGCCAGATGAGAATTGTTTTCTTCCCTCACCTCTCCCTCCTCCCTCCTCCCTTTCCCCTCCTCCCCTCCTTGTTATTTGAAGGACTTACCTTTGTAGGTAAGACAGTGATCTAACTGGCAGCTTTTGGCAGTTTGGTGCCTCCTCCCCTTTTCATTTTGCCCTTTGGGGAGTAGTGTCATATGGAGGTCAGAAAGGACAGGTTTGTGTGGATCCTGGTCTGGATGGAAAACAGACCACAGAAACCCAAGATCATCAAGCACAGGGTGCTTCCCACACCCGCCTGCCAGATCTTGGGGCAGCAGGTGAGTCAGCAGCCTCATGCTGCCACAGGGAGAAGACAGAACAGAGTGTCAGTGGGGTGCAGTGGAGCCCCGAGGCCCTCCATCCCATGGCATTGTCTGAACACTGGCAGAGGCCTTTTCTGGCTCTTCACTGTGGAGGAAGGTGGACAGCTGGCACAGCCCTGAGCTTGGTCTTCCCCTTGAGTTAATCAAATAGAAATCAGAATTATGAGGATAAGATAAAAATACCGGGTTGGAATTCTTTAACCTAGAGAAAGAAGGAAAGTTGACGAGCAGTTTGAGAGAGTCTTTAGGCACAGGGTGGACCCTCACATACTTGCTCTTTTATTCAGTAAAAGATGCAAAGAGATGTGTTTTGTTTAGAGGTGAAAATTAAGGAAGAGCTCTTTGGTAGTGAGGATTGTTGGACTCCAAGGGTGGAATGGCGGCATTGTCGCCCAGAATCTCAGAAAGGCTCGGTGCTTTGTGAGAGAGGGAGAGACAGAAACATCAGTGATGAGGGCCATTGATCGGCTGCCTCCTGCACGCCCCCTGCTGGGGATGGAGCCCACAGCCCGGGTGTGTGCCCTGACTGGGAATCGAACCACAATCTCCTGGATCCTAGGTCGATGCTCAGCCCCTGAGCCACACCTGCCGGGCTAAAGTTGGTCTTTCCTGCTTGCTGTCCAGCACGCCCTGCACAGCCTGGCCTGTAGATTTGGTACATTCTCCTAGAAGGTCAGCTTGCGAGAGTGGAAAGACAACTGGACATGGAATTGGAGGGACCGTCGTAGTTTTAGCACTTATGAGCAGTATGACCTTGGGCTAGTCATGAACTTCTTGAGTCTTAGTTTTTGTTATCGCTTAAATTATTCACTCAGTCCCCTACTGGTTCATTTATTTCACTTTTTTATTCATTTTTGGAACACATTCATTTACTCACTCTGTGGTTTATAATGATACTTATTCATTCCAGAAATCTTACTGAGCACCTGCTATGTTCCAGGTACACTGAAGGAGGCAAAGGTGTGAATAACTCACAGAGTTTTTAGAGATGAAGAGATATAATGTAAACAAAACAGTATTGTGTACTGAAAAATGTTACCCTAATGTGAGGAGGTACTTCCTCGTGGGTTGTCAGTTTATGGGGTCTGGGGCTGGAGTGACTGAGGCCCCTTTGTGAGAAGCCAGGCCTTTGCTACATGTAACTTCTGACCCTAATATCCATTCTTGGCCAGGAGAATGGAAGGGAGAAAGCACCACTCTGTCTTTTCCCACTCACATTATCTGTGCACTTGCAACCTGCTGAATTTATGAAGCTGCTCTTCTGGTAATTTCTTGCTGCGTGTTTGGGAGTCAGGAACACATGCTGTTTACACATGTGTTTGTAATAGGGCTTCTTCCACTGTGACCGGGTATTGGCAGAGGCCCTCTTTGTGCCCTTGTGGCCTTGGCATCTAGTAAGTATTAATGACTTGTGTGCTCACAGTCCCCTGGCGTGCACCTGTGTAGCTCATGGTTTGCAGGGTTCTGCATAAACACTTTCATGCTGACTTTGTGTCTGAAGGCTGTGTCTTTTATATCTGGCCCTGGCACAGTGCCTGGCTAATGTAAAACCCACAAGACATGCTTGCTATCGAACCTCTGGAGGTGAAGGCAGTATAGTTTCTGGAATTAGTCTAGTGGTGTCTATTTTTCTTGGAATTCACTTGTCATTTTCCTTTAATACCTACCCCAGTTCTAACGAGGTGATTATTAATATTATATTCATCTATCAGGCTTGTGTTTAACGCATTGATTGCATTCATTACATTTCATGTTGCACAGGTAGTAAGGTCTAGGTATAAAAAATACCGAATAATGTCCAGCTACCATCCATTACCTGAGGTGTAATGGCTTTCAGATCTGTGTCTTGGAGACAGGCACCAAGGTTGGAACCCCACAGCGCTGCTTACCACCTGTGCACTTTGTCAGGCGACTAATCTCATAAGCCCCTGTGGTCTTCTCTGAAGATGACTTTCACAGTAGCGTTTCCCACGTAGGGTTGTGGTGTGAGCTACCTGAGCTCATTTATTTAAATAGGGGACAGTGTTCGGCACCTACTGAGCACTCAGCCCTTAGGTTTTATCACGTGGCTGCTGGACAGCTGGGACTCCGGAAGCAGAGCAAAGTAAGATTTGGCACGAGCATAGGTCCTGCTGCAGCTCTGCACTCAGACCCCAGGAGAACAGGATCAGAGAGCAAGAGTGCAGGGTGAGGCTCTGGTTCCCACATTACGTGCTAACCTCTGGCATGTTTGGTCTCAGCATTCTGTCTTTTCTACCTCTTGGGCTACTCTGGAGGCCCACAGGATTTTTTCTGTCTTCTGGAGTGCTGTAAGAACAGAACTTCCCAGCAGAGGGGTGAGAAATTAGATTACCTTTTGGGGACATTTCAACAAATGGCAAAACAAATTCTCAATTCTTTCCCCTCAGACAACCACATTCTGTCCTTCTCTGGATGCAATTTATTAAACACTTAACTCAGCCTGGACAGGAGGTTACGTTGTTTCCATTTGTGTGTTTTCCTCTCCAGAGACTTTTCTTTGCCTCCCAAAAGAGGCCTGTGTCTTCTTGGCGGCAGTGGCTGCCCCGCTCCCATGCTTTCTGCCCCCATGTGCTGAGGACAGACAGAGGTGCCCTTTTCTCCTTTGTGGGTTATTTTGTCACATCCAGGGACTATTGGGAGACCATGTTCAGGATCTAGGACAGGACTGAGGCAGGATGTTTGAAGGGGATAGATCTTTCTGCCACATTTCTCACCAACTCTTTTCTTTTTTTCTCCCCTCTTCCGTATTCCAGGTGTATGTGTCTTACGACTATGGAAAATCGTTTCAGAAAATTTCAGAGAAGTTCAGCTTCGGTGTGGGAAATGGCAGCGTAGCAGTGATTGCCCAGTTCTACCACAGTCCCGTGGACAACAGGCGGGTGAGGAGACAGCGCCCCACCTGTGGGGACTTCATGGGTTGTGTTTTGGGAGAAGGTTGTGCTCAGGGGGCCTGGGCGATGGACCACTTTGTCATCATTGTATCATGACTGGTGGCTTTTTCTGTTAACCTGGACGTTTGTGACAGAGCACAGTGCACAGGGTAGAGCTATACATAACCAAGCAGGCCAAGTGCGGGCCAGGCAGGACTTCTAGACAAAATACGGTAGGTGAGAGCACAGAAAATCTGCCAGCTAATAAACTGGGTGACTTATAAGTGGCAAAAGTGTTACCCAGTCCCCAGCCTTCTCTTGCAGTCTAATCAAGGTTTTCCAGAGGAGCTGCTGAGCTCTTCGTGCTCCTGGCACCACCAGTGTGTGAGTACGCGTGCCTGTGAGTGAGTGTGCACCCTTCTCCCTCCAACCTGTGCTGGTGCAGAGGACACCGAGGCGGTAGATGTTGCTGTGTCTGCCAGCTGGCTGGCCTGGGGCTTGTTTCTGCAGGAAGACCCCCCACTCCCCACTCCCAGGGTGACTGGGAGGAAGTTACCCTGGGCCCCGAGAGAGGCAGGAAGAGGGCAGAGGTGCAGCAGGCAGTCCTCTGCAGGGTGCTCCTGCCTGTGTGGGAGTATTGGCTCCAGTGGGAGGTGTATTTGCTGCTTTCGTCCCCACTCTCAAGATCCCTAGCTCATTTCTAAGGTAGGATGGCTGCTTCTAAGGATGCTGAAAACTCCGTAGTAGGAAAAGCTTTCCGAGGGAAGGGAACCTGCTTCTCTTTGCTCACCCAGAAAGGGACAAGAGAGGGAGATCCACAGGTATCCCCCAGTGTCGACTCTTCTGGTTGCCTGTGGTCTGTTAGCAGAGGTTATATTAAAAATATTTAGCTACTGGACTGGCACTGATAAATCAGACCCATCTGATTTGGGAGCTGGGTCCTAAAGGCCACCTTGCTGGGTGGGCATTAACCTTTCAGTTGCTGGATTTGGGGGAGGCTTGGGGAGGAGGCCAGGCCACTGGGGCTTTGGGAGCACCACACAAGTTTCAGGGAAGTAGGTACAGAGCAGGTTTTTTAACAACTGAAACAGTCATTGCTGGTACATTGTGGTTAAACGTCAGCCCTGCTTAATCTCAGAGTGGAGTCGCCACTGGGAACACACTGTCCTCTCACCTCACTGAAGGTGACAGTACAGCTCCCCACCCCCTGTGGCCAGACAGGCCTGGCACTTGGGACTCACTACCTCTTGTGAGGTGAGGAGCCCTGCCAGGGTTCCACTGCTTGCTGCACCACATCTCCCCGTGGATAGATCTGTGTGTCCCCTGCTTCCCAGGAATCGAATAGCACTTGGATCACTTGTCTGTCAGATGGTACCTGCCTGCTGTTATTTTTTTTTTTGATCCTTACCGAGGATATTTTTTCCATTGCTTTTCAGAAAGAGTGGGGGGGGGGG